ATCGCTAGCCCACTCAATTCCTGCTCTGGAGGTTGTGGAGTAGCAAGATAGAAGCAATGTGAATTGCTGAGCCAGGGCATGGATAGTGCTTCCTGCAGGACTGACTAGGCTCCATGGGTTGGCATGACCACAGAATGAGTTTCTCTGTATTAAGAAAGGGGCGTTGCTTTTCTGGAAGTTTTCACCACAGCATCACATACTCTACTTCTTAATAAAACATTCAACATACATATGTGTCTTTCTCCTAAAATAATAAATTTAGAAATCTTGATTTTATATTATTTTGAAATTTGTACCATTCTTGAAAAGAAAATTCATGAAACAAATTGTAATTTACATAAAACCACAGTGAGTTTTTAAAGAACCTTATCAGTGCAGTTTCCTGGAAACTGAATCTTAAAAAGCATTGAAAAATGTAAAGTTCACCAATTCATGTTATTTTTGTTCAGATAGTAAATTAGGGGAGTTGTCTTGAATGTTACTGATGTCATATTAAAATATAGCTCAGAAGAGTGTGCAGGGTACACTTAGCTGGTAAGACATCAGTTGAGATAGACATACAACTCCAGCTCCTGAATCCAGCTTTCTGCTAAGACAGGCCCTGGGAAGCAGTGGTATTGGCTCAAGTACTTGGTCTCCTGCCCACACTTGGGAGAACTGAATCATGTTCCTAGCTTCTAGATTAGATCTAGACCAGTTCTGGCCTTGCCCTGGCCATTGTGTGCATTTAGGGGAGTGAATCAGTGGGTTGGAATTCTGTGTGTCTTTGTCTGTCTGCCTCTCAAAATTTAAAACAACAACAACAAAAAAACGAACACATGGAAAAAATATGTTATTCCACAAATACCATCAGCTTTCTGGGAAGTTTTACAAAGCATGTCAGTTTTTTTTTTCTTATCTTTAAAAAGTAGATGGTAGTGATGACCTATCCTACATCAGAGTCCAATTGTGAGGGACAAATGAGGATGAAGTATAATAAAAATTTTGTATGGTCTTCTTAGATTTCTGAAGGGGCCAGCATGTGGTACAATGTGTTAAGTAAGCCTCCATTTGTAACACGGATATCTCATGAGTGCTGATTTGAATCCTGGTTGCTCAGTTTCTGATTCCTGCTCATGTGCCTGGGAAGGCAGCGAAGGTGGCTTGAGTACTTTGGCCCTTTCCACCCATGTGTGAGACCGCAATGGAATTCCTGGCTCCTGGCTTCAACCTGGTACAGCCCTAGCTGTTGCAGTTACTTGGGTTGTCAAACAGTAGATTAAAGATCTCTCTGTCTCTCCCTCTCTCTTTGTTGCTCTTTCAAATGAATAAGTAAATATTTAAAAAATTCTCAATTAATAATTTTTTTATTATTTAGATACAATTACTAGAAGTCTTCAATTTCATTTACATAAAAACTATAATCTCAGTGACATTGTGTACTCCTTTATACCAGTTGAGAATGAGGGAGTTGAATATTAACTATTCATAAAACTAATATATGGAAATTTCAACTTTGTCAAAAAAATTTCAGCTCTTGTTGATAATAACAATTAAAATCCAATCAAGGAAAAATAGTTCATCTTGGCACACCTGTGAAAAATGGGACTTAATTAAAGCATAAATATGTTGATATTTGGGAAATGAATTCACAAAATTCAGTTTTCATGATTAAAAATTACCTTTACCTGTTTGCTTGTTTATATAGCTCCCAATGTTTTCAAAACCTCCAGGAGCTTAATTTCACCAAGCTTGTTTTTATTACCTAAATACTTTATAAAAACTGGTAATTTTTTAATTTTTATTTTTTTACAAAAGAGGGCAAAGAACATGCTATTTGCTTTCTATTACAATGATTTTTTTTCTTTTGACACCTAAACACTCACTTAGTCTCAGGTTTAAAACAAACAATAGAACAATCATAGCAAGTATGTGGATAATCCTTTATCATTTGTAATGAATTTTCTACATCATGCCTCATTTGCCTGTCACAACTGTCTTAGGAGATTAGTCCTGTTATTTACATGAAATTGACAAGGAAACAGACATAGTATATTTGGGAATAGAGTCTCAAGTCCAGGCTTTAGAATTCAGTGCAATTTTTCATTTCCTGAATATCAAATTCTCATAAACTTAACAGAATTTTATGTTTAAATCTTCTGTTCTTCTAGCGCCCACCTTCTTCTACCCAGACTTATTTTTTCGGGGTTTGTACTTCAGCTTGAGTTTAAAAAGGGGGGAATGCTTTCTAATTATTCTGACAAAGAACCATGAGTATGTGTTTCTTGGAAAACTGAACACATGTCTTAATGCATTTGTGTCTGTCCAGAGCCCTCATGGACGGCCATTTATAACTGATCAGAAACACCTGGGGTGTTTCCTGGTTGTACCTCTGTGACTGCTGTTTGACAGCTTTTCTGCCTAACCCTTTCAAAATCTGTTTATGTGAAAATTCATCAAATATAGTTGTTTTCTGAATGAATTACACTTTTGACTTTGTTTTGGTCAGTTTGCAAACGCCTTTCTAGAGCTATAATGTTCTCTGTGTAATTTATGTCGGAAAAGATTATATCTTATTTTGCATGCTAAGATTTCTTTAAAATTATTTATTATTCATATTACATCTTAAACCGGTGCTGGTCTATGCAGATTTTAAATGTGTTTGTCATATACCATTAGTCACTGTGTGAAATCTCTCAGTAATAGTTAGCCCTTGAATTTTCTGCAGCTAAGGAGAATTTAACACTGATTGATGGCAGATCACTTAGCTGGTTGGCAGACTTTCCAATTTACGGTGAGGAAATTGCTCTTTTCTTTTTGTTCATTCCTTCTGCTGCTTGTGCTGAGCAGTAAGACATATGTGCCAGACTGCACGCGAGAAACAGCAATGGATTGGCAATACGGCATGTCTTTTTTACAATTATGATTTTATCAGTTTCTCAAACGGCACAGGGAATGTCAAATATCTTTGATGACAGTCTTCCATTATTATAGGCAGTTTGCTATGTGCTTCTCATACTCTAACTCCCCACATGCATAGCTTCCCCTCTCTTGCATGATAAACTGGCCCTGAGCCAGGACAAAAAAGTCTGTGCTTTCTCAGAAGTCCCTGGTATTTTTGACTGCAGACCACCTCTGCTATCAGTTTAACCATTTTCTCTTTACAAATGCTCAGAAAAACAGCTCTCCATCATACTGTGTTGGATACAATAGCTGAAAAACATATTGGCCACAAGCAACTCAAAATTCAACCTAGACAGGCTTAAACAAATGATGATTTATTTTTCTTACATCAAAAGAAATCTGAGTAGACAATTTCTGTTGTTGGTTCACCTGCTTATAGATGAGTTTAATGATACTAGGTTAGAACATTGGCTTTGTTCTTTATGGGTGTAGAATGGCCACGTTGCTCTCAGATACCATGTTAGAAAGAGGGGGATGACAAGGCAGTGGGATTTTACTTTTAAGATTGTGTCTATACAAGAAGGGTGGGAGAGGAAAACACTCCCACAAAGACTTCCCTAAATGCCTCATTAGCCAGGAAAAACAATACATTCCCATCTTTAGGCCAATGAGTGAACAAGAAAAATGAGGTTGCCATAATGTCTACTTTTCAGAAAATTAATAGACTCTAGTGTAGTCATTTTTTTTTACAGGCGGAGTTAGACAGAGAGAGAGAGAGAAAGAGAGAGAAAGGTCTTCCTTTTTCTGTTGGTTCACCCCCAAGTGGCCACTGCGGCTGGCATGCTGCGCCAATCCGAAGCCAGGAGGCAGGCGCCTCCTCCTGGTCTCCCATGCAGGTGCAGGGCCCAAGCACTTGGGCCATCCTCCACTGCCTTCCCAGGCCACAGCAGAGAGCTGGACTGGAAGAGGAGAAACCGGGACAGAATCTGGCACCCCGACTGGGACTAGAACCCGGTGTGCCAGCGCCGCAGGTGGAGGATTAGCCAAGTGAGCTGCGGTGCCGGCCTAGTGTAGTCATTTTATTTTTATATTACAGTCTTCCAAAACAACTATCCTACATTCCTACCTCCGTTTGATCTAGTCTACTAAGCATCCCAATTTAATGTGCTTTAAAACTGAGTTTTTACTTTCTCCCTGTGTAAAACTATTCAACATTATTGGCATAGATCAATATATGGAAATATATGAAAAACTCAACTTTGTCACAGAATTCAAAGCTCTTGTTAATGATAGCAATTAAAAGCCAATCAAAGAAAAATGGTTCATCGTAGCACACCTGTGCATTTCTGGTATGACTCTTTTTGCCTTATAATTTTAGGCATATTTTGTTGTGGTTCAAACAAATTTTTTTGTTCTTAGTGTAGAACAAATAATAATGTATGATAAAAATTTATAGCAGTAGTTTTCATTTACTTTTCTATATTATAAGCACTTGTGTTAAACACTTTCCATTAATTCTCATTTTATCCTCTCAGCAAAGTATGAGGTGAATATTAGCGTCTCCATATTCCAGATGAGAAGACTACAGCCCACAGCCACTACGTAACTCAAAGCATAGACAGCCTGGCTATGACACTCATTTTTTAACTCTTCTTGTTTCTACCTGCAATGTTCTCTCCTTCCCAGGGCTAAATTATTCAAAGAAGTGGCTATCATTGAATAGCTTTCAGGTCCTACTCAGGTAAAGTGTGTAATGGACTCACAGGAATCCAGTTCTACACCTGTGCTTTTTTACCCTCTTAGTGCTTTTCACTGACAGAGATAATCCCTAGGTTCAATAATTTACCTTTGCTCTCTGTGAGGTTTCAAGGCACGGGAGTATTTCCTGCAAAGAGTACATTCAGTGGCATTTCCACAAAACCTGAAGTTCAAGCTCTATAAAAGATGCCACTGTGCAGCACAGGTCAATATCTATATTGTAAAATTATAGACCATCAATATTGCTGTGTTTGGAGCTTGTGACATTCTTCTCTTCTTCCTATTCCTTCATACCCACCCTTGCACAGTTCTAGAATCTTGCTAGAAGCTCCAAAAGGATGAGTCTAAAGAATGTACAAGGTCATCAGTGAGATCCCTCTCTAGTGAGAACTTGAGATTGACTGGACAGTTATTTTTCTCTAGCAACAACTTCCTGATGGTTGGGGTCTCTGGTCAGGCAAGACTCTCATCACTCCTTCATTGTTAGATACAAGCAAGGTATCAACGTTGTATGACTGGGATTCAGCGAACTTCCCTTTACTCTAGATCTCCACAATGGACACCTCTTTAAGTTGACTTAGCCTTGTGTTCAAGAGGCCTATATGGTATGTTCCTTATTAAATTACCTATTTATTGAAGAAATATCTAATGAGTAATAACTGCATGACTATCACCTGTATTGATACCAGAAATAAGCCTGTGAATTCAATAGAAAAATTCCAGCCAAAAAGCCTCCCGGAAGGAGAGGCTGTTTACCAGCTGAGATGCCTGCATCCTGTATTGGAGTGCTTGCCTTCAATTTCCAGCTCCAGTCCTTGACTCCAGCCTCCTGACACTGCAGATCTTGGGAGGCAGCAGATGATGGCTTGGGTAATTAGGTCCCTGTCACTCACATGGGAGACCTGGATTACATTCCTAGCTCCTGGCTGGAGCTTGCCCCACCCCCAGCAGTTTAGTCCATTTGGGTAGTGAATAGGAGCTCTCTGTTTTTGTGTCTCTCTATTTCTCAATGTATGTCTCCACCTTTCAAATTTGAAAAATAATTAAAACCTGGGATAGCAGTAGAAGATGGCCCAGGTCCTTGGGCCCCTGAACCCACTTGGGAGACCCAGAGGAGGCTCCTGGCTCCTGGCTCCTGGCTTCAGATTGGCACAGCTCCGGCCGTTGTGGCCAACTAGGGAGTGAACCATCGGATGGAAGACCTCTCTCTCTTCTCTCTCTCTCTGCCTCTCCTCTCTCTGTGTAGCTCTTTCAAGTAAAACAAATAAATCTTTAAAAAAATAGAAAAATCCCCATGGATCACATATTCTCTACCCAGTTTAGTTGTCATATTAAAATAATTGCTTCATAATGAAAATATTAAATACTATATTCTCTGTAAAAATATTCATATTTTACTTGCCTCATCTCACAGTGCCTCATTTAGTGGTGTTCTGGAATTGACTCATATTAGCTCATAAGATCCAATTATAAAAATTTCAGGAATTTTGCAAGTCAATTGTTAAAAGTAGTAATTATTTAATATACATATAAATCAAGAACTAAATTTATTATAACACAAATATACTAAAATTATTACTTCTTAATTATTTCATTACATTGCTGTCTCATCTATGCTCTGAGCTTTACTTACTTTACTTTCGCAGATTGTATGAGAATGGTGGAAACACTATATAGTGGTGTTTTACTACTTCCCAACTCCATGTTCAGTGATATCACATTACAGTAAGACATGTTGGGAAATTTATAGCATGAAAACCAGCAAATGCTATAAATCATGTCCTTTTGATATTCTGGGGAGAGAGTTAAATATTTACAAGCACATTGCTGGCCACATCCTGCTGTGATCCTTTTATTAACCTTCACAGCATTTATTTTTGGCATAACATATTCATTAATTCTTTCAGCCAACATTTGCTTGGTATATACTGAATATTAGGCACATGAATAAGAAAGAAGCTGAGGATTCAGAAATGAGGACAGTGTTGTCTTTGACCTCAAATCATTTAGAATCTAAAATGAGGCTGACAAATGCACAAATAATTATGCTACAGGGTAATGGATGTGATAATAGTAGCAAGTACTAGATAAGAAGAGCTAAAACAATGAAGTAATTAAGTGAGTCAGAAGGTTTGGGACTTGAAGGAAGAGAAGGTGTTTGTCAGGCAGAAGAGGCATTAAGGGCATAGCATACAGAAGGAAATGTTTACAAAAGATCCAAGGCTTGTACAGCTGGGTGAGTTTGCACATACTAATTGCTCAGTATGGCTAAAAATGCTTAGAGGGAATGGTGGTAGAGTAGAGAGGTATCCCAGGACCAGCTCACAAAAGACCGTGTTTTCATCATCTTTGAGGCTGATACAAGGCTTGGAGCATAAAATTAATCAATAAACATTTGCTGAGTAAGTGCTAAGAAATTTGCAGTTGCTTTCAGGGCAATGGGAGCTGCTAACCATTGTGCCTGCTATTTCAAATATTTGTCATAGGGAGCATTTTTAAAGGACTTATTAATTTGAGTGGCAGAGTTACAGACAGAGAGAGGGAGAGACACAGAGAGACACAGTCTTGCATCCACTGGTTCACTCACCAGATGGCCAGAATGGCCAGAGCTGGGCCAACCCAAAGTGAAGAGTCAGGAGCTTCTTCTGGGTCTCCCACGTGGCCGTGGGGGCCCAGGGACTGGGACCATCTCCCACTGCTTTCCCAGACTATTAGCAGAGAACTGGATTGGAAGTGGAGCAGCCAGGACTCAAACCTGTGCGGGATGCTGGTGCCACAGGCGGAGGCTTAACTTACTACACTACAGTGCCAGCCCCATAGAGAGCATTTTTAAAGGAAACGAGCAAACAAAAAAACAAAACAGGTAAATATGCCCTGATGGCAAAGCTTTTCTTTTAACATTTTTGCTTAACACCATACCTGAAAGCTATCTGGTATTCAGAGGATGTGAACTTCCATCCAACTTCTCTTCCTATGGCAATATTTTACACAGATACTTCAACAAAACTGAACAATCAAAGAAAGGCCCTCCTGTGAGACAGGGGTCCTGAGAGTGAGAAAGACTGTTTGGAAATGTGTTATAGACTTTTCTGGACTGTTTAGTAAATGATTAGTCATGTTTCCATGAAAAGAACTGTGTGGGGATAATGACTTATGGTAATGTATTTTCTACCCAAATGAGAATTTTTGAGATTTGTTAAAACCTTCCATTGCTTCCATGCAAAGATAATCCTCTGAGAGACAAGGTCTCAATTAATACAAAATTTATTACAGCAGAAATGTGTAATTCCCCGTTAAGAGGCTGCTTGGCTCCTGGACCTGAGAGAGACTTGACTGAGAGTATTAACCTATTTGAAGAAAGGATATGGAGAATCTACAGCAGTTTGGTTAGCAATGAGAGTTTTGGAAAAGGAGAGTGAGTTAAAAAGCAGTTAGTATTGTTCAATATTATCTGGTTAAGCTCCAGTAATGGTAGAGGGTGAATTGACAGCAGTGCCTAAGTGTAGTAAATGAGTAGGTCTATCCAAATTTTCCAAAGGAAAATTCTCTTTGCTCTGGATCAGAGTACCTTCTTCTGATTCCCATCTGGCTAATAACATAGTCTATCCTCCAACAGGGAAAAATCCAACTCAACTAGAATTTAATTAAATTCACCCAAAGTGTCAGGCACTATTTGAGAAGAAATTATATTACCGTATTTGTTTAAGAATATTCTATTGCAATGGACAATTAAATGTCTCATTGTGCATGAAAAAATTGTGCTGATTATTTATTCATTGATCATGAGCTTGATGACTATGAGCTGCCATTTCAACTTCCTGCTACCCTCTCAACACACACAGACATCGAATTGCTGTTTTATGAGTTGACAAAGGCATTGCTGAGCCTGCAAGACCAGATTTGACCATGAGCTGTGGGAATAAATGTAATCCTAGTGAAGGCTGTTGGAAGGAAGCCAGCTGGCCTTTCCTGGTGACCCTCCTCTGCATCAAACAATATCTTTCTCATGGAAGTTTTACGGTTTTTCACAAATTAGAGATTGGATAAAACAGGATGGTAAATTTCATTGAAAATATGTTGCTGTCAGGACAGTTCCTAGTAGCTTCAAATCCTATAATATCTGGCATTTTATTTTGATTCTTCCTTGCTATTTCTTTTGCTTCAAAGTAAGTTCTGAAAAGCATCCAAGAGATGATCTGTATAGATTCCACTCTATCAATCACCTCTGTAGAAGTTTGTCTTAGAAGTTCTTCTTCCTGATGTTCACCTCATTGACTCTTCCACCAAGATTTCAGTTCTGTTCAGTGTTTTCATTCTCAGAGAATCCATTCCTGTCTCTCTAACACAGCACCTTTCAACATGTTTTATCACCTCATCCTGTCTTACTTTTCTTTATAATGCTTATACAACATAATGCTTGAAAATAATAGTTATTTCTTTTCTGTTTCTTCTCTGAGAAAGTAAGCCCTTTCAGCACATGGATATTTATCAGTTTATGTTTCAAACCCCAGTGTGTACAGTCATATTTTGGAACTGCTTATTTTGGTTATTCAGGTTAATTTAGAGTTATATTACCTGAATCAAATTTCCAATTTACCCATTTTTAAGAAATGTTTATTTATTTGAGAGATAGAGTTACAAAAGGGAGAAGGAGAGACAGACAGAGAGAGGTTGTCCATCTGCTGGTTCACTCCCCAAGTGGCTGCAATAGCTGCAACTGAGCTGATCTGAAGCCAGGAGCCAGGAGCTTCTTCTGAGTCTCCCAAGCAGGTTCAGGGCCCAAACATTTGGGCCATCTTCAACTGCTTTCCCAGGCCATAGGAGAGAGCTGGATTGGAAGAGGAACAGCCAGGACACCAACCTGAGTCTATAAGGGATGCTTGCACTGCAGGTGGAGGCTTAGCCTGCTATGCTACAGTACCAGCCCCAACTTAACCATTTTTATAAAGATTTCCATCTAAATTACTAAAAGGAAATTGTACATTTCTTCTCTGAAAGCACTGTAGTACAATAAGAAGTCTGGGCTGGGGCCGCGGCTCAATAGGCTAATCCTCCACCTGCGGAGCAGGCACACCAGATTCTAGTCCCGGTCGGGGGCCGGATTCTGTCCCGGTTGCTCCTTTTCCAATCCAGCTCTCTGCTGTGGCCCGGAAAGGCAGTGGAGGATGGCCCAAGTCCTTGGGCCCTACACCCGCATGGGAGACCAGGAGAAGCACCTGGCTCCTGGCTTCGGATCGGCGTGGTGCACCGGCCGCAGCAGCCATTGGGGGGTGAACCAGCAGAAAAGAAAGACCTTTCTCTCTGTCACTCTCTCTCACTGTCCACTCTGCCTGTAAAAAATAAAAATAAAAAAAATTTAAAAAAAGAAGTCTGGGACGGTATGGGGGGGAAGCCATTGTAATCCATAAGTCGTACTTTGGAAATTTATATGCATTAAATAAAAGTTTAAAAAAAAAAAAAAAGAAGGGAGACATGAACATATTCATAGAAATATGAAAAAAAAAAGAAGTCTGAACTATGAAGCAGACACCTTCACTCTATTTTGTTGTATAAATCTTACACAATAATTTGCAATGTTTTACAGAATATTCCTGTATACATCTGG